TTTGAACATAGGCAGGTAGAGGGCACATGTTTACATAACAGAGGACTTAACTTACCTTTAAAACACTGTGAGCTGCTATGTGAAGTATCAGAGGGGTAGCCGTGTTAGTCTGGATCTGTAAAAAGCAGCAGAGAGTCCTGTGGCACCTTTAAGACTAACAGATGTATTGGAGCATAAGCTTTCGTGGGTGAATGCCCACTTCCTCGGATGCACTCGACGAAGTGGGCATTCACTCACGAAAGCTTATGCTCCAATACATCTGTTAGTCTTAAAGGTGCCACAGGACCTCTCTGCTGCTATGTGAAGTTACTGATATTGTGGGTGTCACAAACATTGTGCTAAAAGTCCAAAACATACCTGAATTACAGGACTGCTGTATGCGCTAAACCTTCATTTTTCTTTTTAATACAAGCATAGAAAACGATGCAATCCCTGGCTCTGCAAGCCCCCTCAAATATCTAGGTTATGGCCACACTGGAAATAGAGCTGTGCTGGTTACAACCACCGTGCTTAATTATAGATATTGCTAGCACAGTTTTTCTGACTGGTGTGCACAATGAGTTTTGGGTCAGAAGCAGTGTTATAGTGCTATAGATTGTCAGGGTGATTATGTTCACAGCTTTTCAAGAAGAATTCTCTCACCACACTGGTCAGGGAACATGCTATATAGCCTTGTTGCAAACCTAGATTTGTGTTAATGCAAGCTAGAGATTTGTGGATGGAAACTAAAGTAAGTGCTTAAAGGATTTTGTTGAAATATAGTTGGAACTGTCATATCTAACATATGCAGAATTTCACACCTAGCTTGTTTTTGCTATAAATGCCTGAGTTTCAATTTTATGCTTTATGCAGCCAAAATGAAGTTCAATCCTTTTGTGACCTCGGACCGCAGCAAGAACCGCAAGAGGCACTTCAATGCACCCTCTCACATTCGCAGGAAGATCATGTCTTCTCCTCTTTCCAAGGAGCTAAGGCAGAAATACAATGTCCGCTCTATGCCTATCCGAAAAGATGATGAAGTCCAGGTAGATGCCTTTTTAGTCCTTGTTGTGAAATTTGAGCCTTGTGGACATCTTATTTTTATGTAGAATCAGGAGAGATGGGCCAGACAACTTTAAATAGCTGTTAGGGCTTTGGAGTTAATCTCATAGCAGGCTAGGCTATGGTGGGAGAGATCTCAAGGGGAAAAAATGTGTGGAACACAAGTGTTTTGAGAGCCAGACTTGGTTACAGGCCTCAAACAGGACAAATACAGAAAAAGCAGCTCCTTAAACTTCAAGCAGTTTAGGGTTCACTGAATCTAGTTTACTGAAAGATAGGGTTACCATATGTCCGGTTTTTCCCAGACATGTCCGGCTTTTCGGCAATCAAACCCCCGTCCGGGGGGAATTGCCAAAAAGCCGAACATGTCCGGGAAAAATACGGACAGGCACTTCCTCTCCCGCGGCTGCTCTGCTCCTCCCCTGTCTCAGACTTCAGCTCTGTTTAAGAGCCAAGCTGCCCGAGCCAGTGCTACCGGCTTCGGGCAGCCCCCTTGCCTCCAGACCCCAGCTGCCGGCTGGGCACTTCTCCTCCCCGGCTCCAGCTGCTCTGCTCTGGCGGCGCAGGGTCTGGAGGCAAGGGGGCTGCCCGGAGCCCGTAGCACTGGCTCGGGCAGCTTGGCTCTTAAACAGAGCTGAAGTCTGAGTCAGGGGAGGAGCAGAGCAGCCGCGGGAG